TTCTGTATATTCTAGGAAAATTGCCCCTGAGTACATGTTGAATTTGAGAGATGACAATATACATCTTTGTCGAACTTTGTAATAACTAATTATTTCTTGAAGTTCTCAACGAATAGTTTAATGATCTGTGACTGAACTTCGTCTAAACCAAGCTTTTTTTATTTTTAAGGGAGATTATCGCTGCTTCCACTTCCTCTAAAAGGATGTCCGGTGTCTACCGGACTTTGTTGATTTGTTCGATATCTACAATTATATCTCCTTGGTCATTTTTGCTTTGCCTGCGTTGGTTGTGGAGTGGGGTGGACCGCTACAAAAAGCCAGGTTTGAGCTGTCCCAGCTGATAGAACCCTCTGTAAGCGAACCAATGCCTATGGTTATAGATGAAGACCACATCGGCAATGAAGGTGGATGAGAAGATCATTCGAAACAGCGGATTCGGCCGGAAGTATAAGCCCGGGTCTGCAACATTCAAAGCATGTGCCAATCATACAAGGCAGTAAATATTATTTAAGAAACGACATACTGTTGTTAAGTCACTGGAAATATTGTTATTTTGTCTGTTAACTGTATAATTTCCACATTCTGTTAGATGTTTTAACAGTAATATTGACTTGACAGTAATCACACACTGGACTGTCTTCTTTACTTATTAGGTATATATATTATATCCCGTTTATAGCGTAATCCGCCTTTGGGTTCCCGTTCGCCAAGCCTGTCTATTCTGCCAGTCTTCTTCAAATAGATTTCTTGCTGACATGGCTTTTGAAATTCCTTGCATCCATGTTGTTGGTGGTCGTCCTCGTTTTCTTTTCTCTGGTGGTACCCATTCTAATATTTTTTTTGGTAGTCTTTCTTCCCCCATACGTCTAACATGTCCGTACCATGTCAGTTGTTGTTTTTCGATGTCTTCTATAATTGATCTTTGTACATTCATTTGATTTCTTATGTCCTCATTTCTCACATGTTCTAATCGAGACTTTCCCGCTGCTCTCCTCCAAAAATCCATTTCAACTGCCAAGAGGTTACCTTTAAGTTTTTGTGATAACTGCCATACTTCTGAGCCATACACGATTACTGGTTTCAATATTGTGTTATATATTCTTTTTTTCGTTTCCGGTCTTATATTTTTCTGCCATAGTACTGAATTCAATGCACCTATAACTCGTTTCCCTTTGGTTATTCTGTCTTTTATGGCTTCATCAGTTCTTCCTGTCTTTGTTAGTTTTACCCCCAAATATATACATTGATCGCATTTCTTAATTTTCCCGTCTTCTAAGTCGAGGTCATCTGCAGTATTTTCTCCTCCTATGCAAAGATATTGCGTTTTTTGTAAATTTACTTCGAGGCCCCATTTTTTGTACTCTTCCATTAGTTTTCTAGCCATATACTCTAGGTCTTCCCTGTCTTGGGCAATAACTACCTGGTCATCTGCATAATGCAGCGTGTATAACGTTTCATCCCCAATAGACAGCCCCATCCCTTTACACTTCTTTTTCCATTGCCTGAGTGCTTCGTCGATATATATATTAAATAGTATGGGAGATAAACAACAACCTTGCTTCAGTCCTTTTGTTACCTGAAAACCATTAGTAACCTTATTTCCTATTTTAACTTTTGATATTGTGTTGTTATATAGATCTTTAATAGCGTCGATTAGTGAAACGCTGATACTGGTTTTCTCCAATACTTCCCACAATTTCGCAACAGGCACGGTGTCATATGCTTTTGTTAAATCGACTAAAAGTAAATGCACTTCTCGAGATCTCAGTGTTCTTTTCTCGAGTATTTGGGATAAGCAAAAAATACTATCTATTGTGGATCGTCCCGCTCTGAATCCGTTTTGTTCTTCTGATTCAAAAGGACGGTATTCTTCGCATATGCGTTCTTTTATAATTCTCCCATATAATCTGCTAAGCGTACTCGTAACAGTTATACCCCGATAGTTATTGCAATCTTCCTTATTTCCTTTTTTATGGATAGATGTAATCCATCCTTCTTTCCAACTTTGTGGCACTGGTTCTCCGTGCAAGTGCCTATTGAAAACTTCTGTTAGTATCTCGAATAGTTTGTTGGTTCCATTTTTTATTAACTCTGCATATATCCCCTCTGGGCCCGGAGCACGTCCATTTTTCAACAATGATATAGCTTTTTTAGTTTCTTCGATGTTAATTGTTGGAGGCTCTCCTTGAATCAGGATTTCATGTTGTTCTATGTTTTTGAATTCCGGTCTTTCTTCTACTAACAGTGTTTTATAGTGTTTTTCCCATTTTTCGGGCTCTATGGAGTGTATGGCTATTTGTTCTGTTCTGTTGGATCTGATGTTTTTTATAAATCTCCAGGATTCTCTTGATTTGCGGCCGCCAATATACGTATCTAATTCCTGACATTTTCTCTCCCAGCTTTGATTTTTTGACTCTATTATCGTGGATTTAAATTTATTTACCATTTCTCTATATTCTCTTTTGTGTTCTTGATCCTTTGTTCCCAGCCATCTGTGATATAATTTTTGCTTTTGATCTTTCATTTCCTGTAGTTCATCATTCCACCAATTATTTGTCTTTCTGAGTTTGTTTACTCTTATTCCTAATGCTTCTTTGGCCGCTTGATGTATTCCTTTTCTTATTATGCTATGTAACTCTTCTGTTGTTTTATGTTTAAATTCCTGTGGTAGTTGTTGCTCCAATCTTTTTTTATACAATTCTCTAGTACTATCGTTGTCTAAACTTGTTAGATTATACTGCAGTTGTTCACCTTCTGCTGAGTGATTTTCATTTAGATTTTTGTTTTGTTGGTGTTTACCGTTTCCGCTTAGCGGTAGTATCATTTTAGCTTTTACTAGATGGTGGTCACTTCCACATTCGGCTCCTCGAAATACTCTTACGTCATGCACTTTTATTTTAGATTTTTGTTTCATTATTAGGTAATCAATTACTGATCTTAAGTTTCTTGTAGGCTGAGTCCATGTATATGTATGTATTTCCTTATGTTTGAAATACCCATTCATGATCCTTAGTGAGTTGTGTCTACACATTTCTATTAAGTTATTGCCATTATCGTTTGTAGTGTTTTCTCCATATGGTCCTATTGTTTTATCTTTTATTCTTCTACCAGTTCTTGCGTTGAGGTCACCTAGTATAATAGTTTCCCTTGTTTGACCTATTTGAGAGATAGTTTCATCTAGGACTTCATAGTATTTTATTTTTTCTTCTAGGCGTGCATCATCATTCGGACCGTATGTGCCTATTATTGTTATTTTTAATCCTTTCAAGTTGAGGTTGATCTTTATGATTCTTTCATTTATTGCTTGCCAGTTCGATATATTCTTTTTGTATTTCTTCAATATAAGTATTGATACTCCTCTTTTGGCATGTTCTTCCTTATTAACTCCCGTGTGTATATGTATATATCCATCAAGATTTTGGGTTCCTTGTCCTTTTTTCTTTGTTTCTGAGAGTACAGCAAAATCCATTTTATGTTTTTTCATTTCTTGGATAACATCTTCGATTTTATTTCTAATTCCTTGTGTATTCCATGTACCACAAATCAGTGTCCGTTTTCGTTGCCATTGTCGTCGTCCTTTAGTTCCATCCATATCCCGAGGCTTGGTTTCGGTATTTTTAGCATTACTATTTTTTCCAAGAATGAGTTGCTGGCCCATTGCTAAACCCCTTGCTAGGAGGACCAGAATTTTCTGTCGGGGTTTATTCCCTTAGCCTATAAATAACTCACCCCGCTGGCAGACGTGTTAGCGAGTGGGGGGGGGATTAGGTAAGGAATTTGGAGTTTAGGTAGGATAATACTAGGGTTTGGGCCTGGTTTCACCTAAATAGGGAGTGGAGGAAAAACCAGGAGCTCGCGTGGGCAGGGACGCTACCTCCCTGAAGTAAGTCTACCCTCTATCGGGACCATAAAGGGGTACCTACCCGCTACCCGATTATTAGGTGCTTATGAGTAATATTGGTATGACCTAATCGAAGTCGAGAAATTTTGACTTGGTCAGCTCTTTTTAAGTTTACTAGGCGCCACGGTTTCACTGTCGATTTAATTTCTTTTAATTTAGATTCCGATAAGTTTCACTTATTTTACCACGCACTAATCCCTTTTTCTTTAACGAACTGTTTTATATCACTGCAGGTGGTCTTTGACACTATTATAGCTTGATCATTTTTGGTAGCTTCTCTTGCTTGGAGGTCTGCGTTTTCATTACCTTGTATTCCCGTGTGAGATGGAACCCACATAAATTTGACTTCTGAACCAGATTCTTGTAAGGCAGCAAGTTATTTCTTGACAAGTAAGGCTATAGGGTTCTTAGTATATAGTTGACCGATTGTTGTTAAGGAGTTTAGAGAATCTGTGATAATGACGGAAGAAGAATGGTTTGTACTTTTGATATGAATGAGGGCTTGTAATATTGCATATAATTCTGCTGTGTATATAGAAGTGGCTGGCATTAATTTAAATTGGGAAGAGGAATATGGAGGGACAAATGCTGCTCCTACGTCATTTGCAGATTTGGAGGCATCTGTATAAATGCAAAAGCTTTTCCCGTAAGTCTCGAGTTCCTTTAAACATGACTGTCGGATTACAGTGGGTGATGTTTCTGATTTGTTATATTGGAGTAGCGTCGTATTGATTTCGGGAATCATGATTAACCAGGGAGGTGGAGTTTTTATATTTGAAGGAAAGAGGTCAGAAATTTGGAGTTGTAGATCTTTTAAATTTCTTCGAACTCTTTCGTAGAATGGTGGATCGAACCTACTTTTGTTATAAGCTTCTAGGTAACGGTCTAACAACGGGTAACATCTATAAAAGATTAGCACCTTTAGGTCATTTTTGATTTTTCTATTGATTTCTTCTTGATGTTTCCTGTTATTTTCTTGAGCTTCTTGTAAACACCAAATATGTTGTGCTTGGTTTGTGATATTTCGATGTTTCTGCATTTATTTTTGTCCTTCGCGTTTATTTTATTTTTTACTAATGTTAAATTCCATTAAAATAAATACTCAAATAATGTTTACACATAGTTTATATTTTGCAAGCAATTGGTACATTTTTATAACATAATTACAATATTTAAATATAAAATATTACAAAACATTTTAAAGGTACATTAAAAATTATGCGTAGCAAAATAGCAATTTTGCATAATCCTAATCACATATAAAAATACTTAAAACAGTTCGTTTATTAAATAGGTAGGAGGGTATCAACACGAAAGTGTTAGAATACGCATTTGAAAATGTTATGTATCTACATTTTTATTTAGTTCTTTATCTAGGAAGACTGTATAATGAATTCCTCCTACTATTTCACGCTTGAGAGCTAGCTGTTATCTGGAGAAGGTAGGCACTCGTGCAGTGACAATGGCATTAACGATCAATATATACTTATTGGAAATGTGGGATGTAGGAGGATTTCCTGGAAAGAGAAATGTGGGACTTAGGAGGATTTCCTGGTTGCGAAATTTAAGGAAGTGGTATGGGTGCAGTTAAATACAGTTGTTCAGAGCTGCAGCCAACAAAGTAAAGATTGCTGTGATGGTAGCCAACCTCCGATAGGAGACGGTACTGCAAGAAGAAGATATACTTATTTGCTCTAAAGGAGACTGTGCAATAATAAGAAGAAAGAACTGTAATACAATAATACGTATTGTTTCGCAACTACAACTGCTGAAAACTTTTAAAATAGCTCTGTTTCTATTATAAGTTGTTCTATTTGCTATCTGACCTACCAAATCTCACATAATCGCTAGCTTTCGTTGATTTTTCATTCAAATTTTTTCTATAATGCTAAAGCTGCTAGTATGAATCAGACTTATTCGTAGCACCGACCAGAAACCAGTAATACTTAATTCGTAGGTATCACCAACGGTTTATCAACCATTCATATACCTTGTTCAAACATACAACTCCTAGTTTTTCTGAATATTATATACGGCCTTGATTAATAGGTACATTTGGCTATTTAGTCTAGACTAGATCAATACAATTTAACACTTATAGCTGATACAAAGTTTTTTGTTTTTGTAATTCGTCTTTGGTGGTGATATACGCATATTTAATATTTTTCCTTCCAACTCCTTATTTGTTAGTTTGCTGATCGAAATTGTTCATAAATTCCATTTTATTCAAAAACGGAATTAATGAAAAATCAAGATACAAGATACAAAAGAATAATGTAATAACTTTTTGATCTACCCAACTAATAGCTTTTTATTATTGATTTTATTGAACAATGTAAGATATACGGACGATATATCGGAATTATTAAGTAACATAAAGACAGTTTTACATTATGCTATTTTCATGCTAGGCAAGAGCCATGCAAGACAGATCATGGAACTGCGCATGCCCACGGGCTATTTCCATGCAATTCCTGTGCTAGACGAAAAATTAGAACATGTTCTATTTTTCATGCAATTTATCGTTAACATTCATGTTGCCAACATAACAATTTATAATAGATTCTGTTACAGAATAAAACATAACCTTATCTCTATCTTTAGCGTCCCTTAACCCACATGTGTATTGTTGTGTTTTGATTTAAATTAAGTTTATTAAGTGGTGATAAATAGATATACTATATCTAAAGTCAATGTAAAAACGACTGGGTGAGTCGTTGACTATGGATGATTGTTGCTACAACAGCAATATTCAACAATAACAATGTTTTCTTTTCTTTGGTTGACATCCTTCACCCTTTTAATAACCATAAATAGTGTATATTTATTTATTATATTATTTATTTTAGTACTTAATTATATTTTTTATTTGAAATAAAATAACCTCAAATTGATAAATATTTTCTCTGTTGGCAACAATGAAAGTGGGATCTAAAATTGCACAGAAATATCTCTGATGTAAAAAGGTCAAGCTAGGCAAGAGATGTGCCATGCAAGACGGACTTGCATAGCATGAGACTTGCATAGCCTAGATGTAAAGCTGCCTTAACTAAAGTCATCTGACCGATTCTAATGTTTGAGCTATTGAATAAAATATAAAATTAAGCTTTAAGCTAAAAGCCTTCATAAATGAGCTTGGGTTTTTACTAATTATCAGAATCTTTTTAAAGTCTTTTTCTAAAACCGTGAGACTCTGTCGTGGTAGAGAGGATGTGTCTTTCATGGTTGATCGTGGTCGACAATTCTGTGAGGTGAGCATGACCAAGTGGCCCACCTTCTTATATGACATGACATTAAAGTTTTATTAGCCTTCTCCTGGCAGTCGTGCATCTACCGTAAGTAATAATCCACTCTCTAGCTTCTCTCCGGATAAGAATTGACAAACAGGAACAAGTAAACAAAGCAGACTCAGTCATCCGGAAACTATGAAACTGGATTTCGGTACAGGTTATACTTCCGAAGATAAAGAAGCTATTAAAGAAACTATTATATATTAAAGAAACCATTAAAAATCAGTATGGACCGAAAAATTTGCAGCGAGCGAACATGACCAGCGCGGCTAGGGAACTGTTTAAGTATCTGTTAAAGCAAGTTCTCTATTCAAAGATCGAGGTCTTTCTTCAACTCGACAGCAAGCGCAGAGGTGTAGCCTATATACAAAAGATGTCGCAGTGTGAAAAGGTCTACAAGGCGAAACAATCCCTTTATCTATAATCTACAATGTTAAGTGCCACGTGAAATGTTTCTGTTAAACTTTTAGATCTATATGAGAAATACTGCAGGAATTCATGAAGAGAAGATGGTATTTTATATCTTGCTTGTATATGATATATGGCTTTCGTTCGCAGAATATGGTATACATACATTTTCATTGTTTTTTGTCCATATTACTAGAGTTTATTCTAAATAAATTTTGAATATTGCTATGCTTTAATGCTGCTCTAATATTTATTGCCTGTATACTTTCCAATGTGACCAATGTGTTTCCTTTGTGATCAAAGAAAATATGTATTTGTATGTTTCGTGGACTTCGAAAAGGCATTCGATAAAGTACAGCATGTAAAATTAATGCAAATACTGAAAAGTATCGAAATAGATGACAAGGATATTCGTGCCATTAAAAATTTGTACTGGAATCAAACTGCTGTCGTAAAAATTGGAGATAACTACACCGATGAAATCTCCAACGTGGAGTCATCTCATCATCATCATCCAAATCATCTCAGTTTAGAACTAAGACAAAGAATGGTTAAGTGCCATGTTTGGTCCGTACTTTTGTATAGTGCAGAAGTGTGGACGCTAAAAGTATCGATCATAAACAAAATTGAAGCATTGGAAATGTGGGTTCATAGACGAATTCTGAAGATACCTTGGACAGCAAGGAAAACTAATGAAGAAGTACTAAGGAGCGTCAACCAAGATAGAGAACTGCTAAAGACTGTTAAACATCGAAATATGTCTTACCTGGAACATATGGACGTAGTTAAGCAGAAAACGTCCAACCCAAAAAAAGTGATTGTTGGGAAATTGAGTTTAAAAGATTTTAGTGTGCCCTAGCTAAACTATGCATAATTTATTCGCCTGGCAATGATTTTAAGATAATGATATTCATCTCGTAGGCACCTCGTTTGTAATTTCTTTTAAATGTAAGTTTCAATGAAGTTATTTTGAAAATTTTAGGTTGGACGTTTTTAACAAAAAACAAAAATCCGAAAAAAATTTCGATAAAACATACTTATGTGGGTTGGAATCTTTCAGATAAATAAATAATGTCATATTTTTATAAAAATTTTAATGATCCAAAGAAACAAAATTACAATGATTTTCTTATGTAAATGTAAATTTAAAAAAAGTTTTAATTATTGTGGGTATCTACCTCAAAATCTAGAACTGGAACATTAAATCCATCAACGTCTTCGACTACATTAGCACTTGTAAAATTTTCATAAAACGGTTTAGCGTCTGAAGGAATTAGATGTAAATAGCTTTTAATATCGTTAATTTTATCCTCTGACAGGGGTTTACCATTGGGCCAGAGTTGCATAAGCAGCGCCGAAAAGCTCTCTGTATTTAATCGTCCTCGTCGCTCAATATCCAAACATACACTTTCATCGCCAAAATAACTAGGTTTCATAAAGATGTGGTAAGGATTTTCTTTTGTTAATATAATTTGTTTTGTCTCCAACCAATTTATTTTTTCTTTATTGGTGCCAACTTTTCTGTTTATTGTGGCCTTCTCGAGCTGGTGGGTACTCAAAAACCATTCCTTTTTCATTTGTGTAGCTGTTATTGGAGACTTTTTACGACATGAATTTATTATATTTATATAGTCTAAAGGTGTATATATTCGTTCTTGACGTTTGAGTTGACATTCTATATCCCCAAAATCTTTATCATTTGGTAGAAAACTATGGCCGGAAATCAGGAATTTAAATGTTATAGTTTTTATATTATGGCTGGTTTGAAGAAGACTGGCCATGAGGAGTGTTATTTTAATATTACGGTTCTGGCCTCCACAAGAATCAGACCACAATATAAGATGTTCAACAGTACTTTCTATGTTTTCTAAATATTTTACAATACAGGAACCAACCTCCTGAGCTCCTCTTCCAGCAGTTCCTTCAAGCCATACATAGGAATAACTCTTATTACGTTTGCCTGAAAATACACCGAGATTATACAAGCAAACTTGCCTCTTATAATATATTACATTGGTTGGAATTTTGGGTAAAGGTAGAGTTTTTTGAAGATCGTATGTTAAACACTCTACATTATCCTCATCTTTAGCTCGTTTTAAATCTGCCTTTAATGTTTCTCGTGATTTTTGGGCCAAATCCTGATGAGTGTCGAGTTCAATTTGTAAAAGTTGCTTTTTATGATCATCCGTTTCATTTTCTAGTTTTATTTTAAATGAATCACATACCTGGCATGTGTCCTTCTTGGGAACATTAAATCTCAAATTAAATTTTTCGTAAAAAATCCTCTTATAAATACCAAATTTCACAGGGTTTTGAACTTCAGATTTGTATAGATCATAAATCTTTAATAATGAGAGATGTGCCGGTAAAAATAATGCAGACGTGTTTTCACGACAGTAGTGCGATATGTACTTAGGCAGTTTATTGATCTGGTTGATTATTTCCTGAATTTTATTTTCAGGGACTTTGTTTAAACCACCTTGTTTTCTACCTCTTTGATCAAGAATTGGAGCACGATTGTTTACCTTTCTCAGAGCTGTTGTTACTCTTGACGGAGTTATTCTAAGACTATTGATAAACATTTGCCTACAAATACGCTGATTAAGTAAGGAATATTGTCTGGAATACAGACGTCTTTCAGTGTTTCTTCCATACATTCTTTTTTTCGGCATTTCGTGGATATTATTGGCAATAAAGATAGTTTGGGCATTATAAGACCCAAGACTCCAAAAACGATCAAATTCTTGTTTTCGTGACTCTGTAGAAATCAACTCAGAACATTTCATCGGGCAGTTACAATTGTAGTCATATTGAAATTCTTTAGCAGCTTTCAATTTTCCTTTGTAGTCAATGTAAGATTCATTTTTGTTCCTATTAATCTTTGATGTTGCTCGCGTCATTGCAAATTTCTTTTTTCTACCCTTCTTTGGACGACCTGATGTACTGGCTAAAAATGGATTATCATCACAACTTTCATTGTTATCGGAACTCTCTTCATGTGACGATGGTATAAACATATCAGAGGAACCGCTACTAAAGACATCACTTATTGACATATTCTGTAAGAATAAAAAGGTAGGTATTATTAGATAATATTTTAAATAAAAATTTCAAAAAATTATAGAAAGCGTCTATTTTAATTAAAGAAGTTAACTTTTAATCAATTACCAGGTACCAAAAAATAAAACAAATTCAATTCATTCAAATTAATCTTTTTCATAAAGTTTACTATAGGTACTCATCGAAAAATAATTTTCATATGCTTTACATTATTGTATAATTACTTTAATCAATAATAATTGATGATCATAATAATAGGTATCAATTTAACATTGGTATAATAAGATTAATACATATGTGTTTACAAAATTGTGTGTACCTAAGGAAGTTGTATTTTTTCTTTTAGATTGTAACAATAGGTACATCAAAGTTTAGTTTTCATTAAATAGAAATAATATAGCGAATAGCATTATAAAGCATTTTACTAAACAGTATAGGTACAAAGATTTAATACTTACATCATAATCATCAACAGAATCTATGGTAGAAGCTGATTCAAAACATCCAGTTTTCTCGTTTAAAACCATTTCACGAATACGACTATTGGATGACGATGGTTCGCTGTGACGGTAGAATTCTGTCACATTGGTATCATCCATATTCTACAATATATTTAAATTATGTAATGATGTATAAAATGCATTTATTTTAAAAATTTAGTAAACAACATAAACTTTTAGAAGCCGTGTCTTATAAACTGATTATTTTTTCGTGATTTTCGGCCAGATTAAAGAAATACCACAAAACTCTATTTTCTTCTATTTTCTTTATTTTTTTTTTAAGATTTAGTAACAAAATAAATTGAAACGTCGTAAAAAAAAAGAGAGTTTTGTGTTATTTCTTCAATCTGGCCGAAAACCACGAAAAAATAATCAGTAAACAACATATAGTTATTTTTTAATAAAAAATTTCCGACTTACCTCAACATTGGTAATATTTGAATCAAATTCCACGCTAGACATTACACTATTTGTTTGGTTTTCCATAAGTTTTGCTAGCTCACACATGTATTTGCTTCTTTTCGACATAATTATTATTAAATAAGTATTTTTAAACCCGAACAGTCAGAAAAATCAGACACAACTGAATAAAAAGAAATGTTTATCAATACATAGGCACATTTACTTAAAACTAAAGGAAAGTGATTACTATGCTTAAGATGAGTACCTATAATAAATTAATTTTTATCGACCAAGTTCCAGGGTTTATACGCACAAGGCACGTTTTAAACATTAATAGGGCACATTCCCGTAATAAAATTTTATTATCGACCGAAATCGAAGATTCAAACTACTTTTAACATATTAATGAAATAGTAAACGTAAAATGATACCAAGTGGTTTGGACGATTTCTGATTATACTCTTATTTTTAACAAGTATACCGAAATTTATAAGTAGAAAACATCCAATTCACTTGGATGTTTTTAACACAAAAAAATGCACAGTAGTTTTGTTATCGCATGGAGCGTTAAAGTGATCCAACCCACTTAGCCTGTTTTAACCACTCTTTTAACACGATTACTTAGATCGACATACATTTTTTAGAAAAAATTCAACCCACTTGGATTTTTTATTATCAATGAAAATCTCAGTTAACCTAGTTTGTGGGTTAGAACTTTGACGATTATTAAAAGAGTATGTAATGTTTTCACTTGGACGGTTTCTGCATATTATAAAGCAAGAAATTATATGCTCGCTGGTGTAAAGAACTCATTTTTAACAATTTGTGGGTTGGACGTTTTCTGCTTAACTACGTCCATATAGTAAGTGGAAGTCGATATCAAATATTACAACTGATATTTAAAGGCAAAATAGAGGGCCGTAGAGGTGTAGGAAGAAAACAAGTTTCTTGGTTAAAAAACACTCGTGAATGGACTCAGATATCAAATGCAGGACAATTACTCCATATTGCAGAAGATCAAGAAGCCTTCGCAATGGTGATTTCCATGTTAGCTCTACCAAGATTGATTATAAAGTATTTATAGAAAAGTTATAAAATGACAGGTAGAGCATGCTGTAAACGATTAAATATGATATAGTGAATATAATGTATTATATCTGATCTAATGATCGATATCTCTGATCAAAAACTGATTTTTTTATACTTTTATGTTCAGGTTCAATTAGTTTTGAAGTAAATACGGTAATCCTGTTATTATCGAAGTACTTTAATATAAAATCAGTAAAGATGCATCAATCTTGTATATTTAGGTACACTTCGAATTTCTTATGTATCAGAACGACTGCATCACGTCTTATGAATACCGATCCCACGGACATAATAATTTTGTTTTATTTAATACAAACTCTACCCACTGTGCTAGACAGGCGGTCTATTTAGGCATGTACTATGCAAGTAAAGGCAGTTTAGACTTGGTTGATACCGAAGGTGATACCCTAGCAATATTCGGTCTGTTTGATATAGGCATTGACACTATTGTGATATTAAGGTTTTTATAAAAAATATATAAGCTGTGTTCATAAACATCAAGTAAAATTACATGTAAGTAGACACATACGTTTTTTTTGTATTGTTTATGCTGCCTAGCTTTCTTCTATCAATTATATAAATATCTTAGGTACATATAGATCTGTGCATTTCTTTTTTTAAGCTCTTATATAAATATAGCAATAACTTTCTCTATTGGATATGCTGGATAGCAGTTTGTTAATATTAATAAGACCGCAATAAAGCTCTAGCGTTTAAGCCGAAATGGACTCTTGTTACTTGACGTTGTCATTTATACAAATTAAACTTGGATTATAAAATTAGTGCTATATCCCCGTAAGTAATTAATATTATATGAAAACTATTTATAAACATTTCTGGATTTTTTCTTACATCTTAACAGTACTAGATATATCCATTTTAGGGCATCATCGATTGATTACCTGATTCACATAGGCCATTTTGCTTGCAACCTGTTTTGTTTAATAGGGAAACAAATTGTAAGCTGTGTAAAAAATAAATAATGTAGCGTTTACTAACACAAACATCTTATAAAATTAACAACAAATATAACATCTTGGACCTATTTGTAATTGACCATAACACATCTCTCACTTGATTTTCTCTGAAGAATATCTAAAACAGAAAATAAAGTTTAAGTAAGGGTTCCAACAGATATTACAATGGTGAATACCACATATAACCCAAGCTGTGAGTGAAAAAGGTCATTTTTTTTACTCGCAGCTTTTACTATACTTTCAAGAAATCTTTATAATGTTTAAAAAACACTTTTTTATAAAAAATGAATAACCAAGTTGACTGCAAAAGACGGCGTGTTAGGTTTGAGAAAGCTATTCATCAACCTAAAAGACGCTGAATTTAAACTTTCACATTACAAATGATCTAACGTCACGGGAAATGCTTCTATGAAGACGGCGTTAGGTGGAATTTGTAGCTGAGGTTGTGTAGTTTTGAAACACGTACTTGTGCAATCGAAAAGAATGAGTTTTCAAAGTTTTAGATCGTTTGTAATTTGAAAGTTTTTTAGACATATTTTAAATGTCTCTTATTATTTGCCAAAACCCAAAATCCAAATTTTATGTAACAGGCTTTGAAGATTAGGCCCTAACAATTAAAAATTCTATACTGATCGGTCAATGGAGGTGATCAATTTTATTGATCTCATGGGAATCGTAAAAAATGGCAAAAATCGCGCAACGTTTACTTATTTAACAACTTTATAGAAACTGATTTTATTTACGGCAAAATACAAATTGCATAAGAAAGCTACACACCTTTAAAATGCATTTGGATTTTTGTCGACACGACATTCTGATCAAAAGATATTAAATTTAACTGTCAAGTTAATACAAATTTTATTTAAAACATTGATTACACAAGCGTAACTTTCGCTTGTGACATTCAAAATCGCCAGTTGCTTTAAGCGTTGTTTCTGAGAGAAACGTGGTAATAAATATTTTTTTGATCAAAATTATTTTAGCTATATTTCTTGTTTGAAACATTTTCTTAAATCCGTGTTTTACGTTTTCCTTCACGTGAGGGAGTTTTAGGGGAAGCCCGGGGTAGGAGTGGTAAACTTTTTTGCATCTTTTTGGGATCTTAAAATTGACATTATCAGCAAAATTCAGCTTGTTTGTAGGGGAACGGTGTACAAAATGACATACATTTTTAAAAAACCGAAAATTTGACTTAAAGAAAACATTTTTTAAACAAACTTCGATAGAACACAAAATAAAGTATTTGAAACACTTCAGACACGTTTTTAACAAAGTAAGAGAAAATATAAACTTTTAGCCATACATATAAAAATGAACAAGAAAAGTTCATTTTACCTTACCTGGCGGCAATATGAGACATTAATAGCGATTGATATTCTTCAGTAGCTCGCAAAACAAACATTTTTGTTTTCTTGTCTGGTCCGGCACACTTAGCGTGTGCCACTTTTGACACGAACAACAGCATAGCCATAGCTCTCCTTGTTTAGACAACTTGTACTATTCTGTACAGTAAATGCAAGCAGCAGCATAATTTTCTTCATCAGCAGAAAAATGCTTTCTTTCATTTTTCAACTCGCATTCTATAAAAACATTCCTTTTTACCGCTCTTTTTATTTTTGGAGGGATCTCTGGTTTCGGTTTGCTTTTTTCTTTTGCCCCCTCTAAATTTGGAGTTTTTTGGAGAAGAGGAAGTTCCAGGTTCTTCATTATTATCATAAACGTTTACAGCAGGTTTGACACTATCTACTACAATATTTGTAGTTTCAGATGATTAAAACATATAGCCGGGGAATACATCTGGGTATATTGGATAGATACCAGTTTTGGAAAATCCATGAGCAGCATTCTGGATATTAGCTTCTTTTCCATAGACTTCATTTAACAGACCATAAATTTGGAACTGAGTCACAACTCGACCAGGATGATCTTTGAGCTATTTGGTTATTTCTTGGTCATAATAGGTTTTGAGTGGACCAAAGAATGCTACATCGAGAGGTTGCATCCGATGTGTACAGTGAGCCGGCGAACATAAAAGTACAATGCCATTTTCTTTGGCGTACAGAAGTTCGTCAAGATATTTATGACTTGAATGTCCATCCACGATTAACAAAACCTTCCCGGTGGAAGATGTCTTGGCATATTTTTGGAAATGCTGCAACTATTGTATAAACACTGGACTCTTCATCCAGCTAGTCTCCTGGAAATACATAAAGTTCCTGCTGGTGTATGGTCAGCTCATTTCTTTTCATATTTTTTCGTGGAAATATTAGAGTAGGTGGAATATAGTTCCCGTTAGTGCACATACAACAAACAACTGTCACGTGGGAACCTCGTTCGGCGCTGGTAATTGCACCTACTTGTTTGCGACCGGCTGTAGCAAACACTTTCTGCGAGCGTTGTACGGTAGATAATGCAGATTCATCTTCATGGGATCAATATTTTCCTTTATCAACGTGTCCTCTAACACTTTAAAAAATTTAGCTACTTGAGGTTTATTAAAAGCTTGCGCTCTTGCTGCAGATGTGTCTCGGGTTTACGCAGTGTTATATCTGAATTTCTTCTGCAAAATTCTCTTAGCCAATCTTTTCCAGCGGCCTTTTTCTGGTAATTAAAATGATGTTCAAGCCCATTTTTGATTGCTAAATTATAAGCTAACTCTAATACGTCCCGTTTCGTTAGTCCAAAGAACCTTGACTATAGCAATTTTATATGTTCAACCAACTGTCTTTCCATTTCTATGGGAAAAGTAGGTTTAAACCTGCCTAGTCATTTTTCGCCTGTTTTTAAATTTTTATTTTTTTTGCAAGTCATGCCTTCTTAGGGTTGCTTGAGGTATATTGAAAATATTTGATATCTTGAACCACCCCATTTCACCCTTATTAACAACTTCTATTGCCTTTACCATATAATATGTATCTCATGATTGCCTATTGGCCGTTCTTGCGTAATTTCGCGGCATAATCTGTAAAAAACAGAAATATCCGTTTGTAAGGCACATTATTTTTATCTATGTACGATCATGAACTTAATTTAAAGAAATCAACAATTTTTGACAAAACAATAACTTATTTACTAAATTTGAAATAGAAAACAAAAACCTCATCATTTATCATAAATATCGAACGTGCTGCCACTCTGACCGATGAAGCGGAACTGAATGTAGCATGACTGGTACCCACGCCACAATTAGATATTAATTTCTGAGCACTTCTGAACAACGAATTTGGTATATACAAGCACTATGTCATTATACCTCATTATGTCATTTTGTACACCCTTCCCCATGCTTTTAGAGATTCAATGGCATTGTCGTCTTTGACGACTGGAATATAAGATTAGAATAAGTATGTTAACTTATTAATTCTTATTCTAAAATAAATAAGTGAAAACTTGGCGCTTTTATAAAACAAAAAAAAAACTAATAGGGTGATGTGAGTAGGAATTTTCCATCAAAGATATTTTGATCAGTCTGATGAATTTGTTGAAGGATATCTAAATTGACTTGGCATCAGTTAAATATTCTAATGCAGATATAGAGTTTTGTTATATATGGTACAACTCCTTAAATCGATAAGCTTAAGTGATTAAAAGATAAATGAGTAATTGGTGTTGTAAAAAGTGAGCAAAAGTATATATATCATAAATAGTGTAGTGAGAACATAACTGACGCAGGAAGAAGATATGTTTAACAAGAAATCGAATAATCTATAAATATCCGGCTCGAAGGATCAATATATAAATTCGAATATAATTGCGAATGCCCTATGCTCGAAGTTCTCGGTCGACGATGTGAAATAATTCGAAGTGTTGGAGTAATTGATTGATTGGTAGCTTGAAAATAAATACACTCGACGTAACTTCAAACAATGACTTAAAGATCTTCAGTGAAGTAAATATTCTAATATACAACATACTAAAAACTGTTCAATCCCAATTTATAATTGCCTCGTGCCTTGTAACCTGTACGCTGAACCGAGAGCTTACACAAATATAATTCGAACTATGAAATTATTGCAACAGAATTTAGCAACTGATTTAATTCTACCGGAAGGTAAATAACCTTGTAATTAAAGTATAGACATATGACCATTAAATATGTCAAAATTATGTAGGTATATGATACGTTAACATTAATGTGCGATTAGGGGTTTAATTTGTGATTGAAAAAGTAGGCTTCGATATTTATCCTTGTTTTACTATTACGAGATACTTTTATATTGTAAATATTGTTTAATATGTATTACCTTTATTTTTTAGAGAATAATCCCTTTCCAAATATATTTTTAGCAGCATCTGCTGCATCGTCCAAATCTGCGTGCATTCTTTTATTACTTTCTTCGGCTTCTTGTTTTAAATCGTGTCGTGTATTATCTAAGAAATTAGCTGAGTCCTGCATCTTATTCTGGAATAATTTCCCCGTCTCTGCTAATTTGTTGTCTATGCTGTGACCAAATTGTTGGAGTCCACCCTGCAAAAGAATAATTTTTTTTTATATAGACTAAATGGTTGTAAGTATTTGTTTGTTGGTAAAAATTAGGTTCATTACAATAGTTTAAAGTTTTATATATAAAATAATACTGAGAGCCTGGAATGAGTGCCTACAAATCACGGAAGAGTGGTGTATTGAAATCGTTTGCCGCTACACAAAAAGGGTGACCAATTGGAATATAGAAACTATAGGGGAATAACCCTCCTTAATACAGAATACAAAATATTTTCGAGGATACTATATAGGGTCGCCTAAGTGCATATTCAGAGGAACTTCTCGGGGAATATCAAAGTGGCTTTAGGGCTGGTCGATCAACAACAGATCAGATCTTTGTAATAAGGCAAATACTGGAAAAAACCAATGAATTCAATATCGATACATACCATCTTTTTGTAGACTTCAAATCTGCCTCTGTAGACAACAGAGGAAATATTTTTAATAAATCACCCCAAATTTTGGCATATGCAGATGATGTGGACCTAGTTGCCCGCACAACACGCAAGCTAGAAGAAATGTATACCACCTTCTCAAATGCCTCAAAATCTATGGGCCTGCAAGTAAATGAGGAGAAAACTAAGATGATGGCATCAACACCCAACAATAGAGTTAGGAACATCGGTTCCCAATACACGGTTGATAACTCTACCTTTGAAGTGGTGGACAAATTCACATACTTAGGCTCCCTGATCACCAAAGAGAACGCCATAACGAAAGAAATCAAGCGAAGGATAATAATGGCAAATAGATGCTATTTTGGACTGAGTAGACATATGAGAAGTAGAAACTTAAGCCAAAAACAAAAATAACTATATACAAAACTCTTATACGGCCAGTGTTGACATATGGATCGGAGACATGGACCATCTCCAAGGCAGACGAAGACCTTCTGCTTATATTTGAACGAAGGATCCTGAGAGGAATATTTGGTGGCATTTGTGAAAATGGTGTTTGGAGGAGGAGATACAACTACGAGGTATACCACAGATATAAACAAATATTTGGTGGTAAAGACGTAGTATCTCTTATAAGAAAAGGAAGACTAAGATGGGCAGGACATCTAGCAAGATCACAGCAGAACAACCCTGCTAAAAGAATCCTTATGTCACAACCCGTGGGAAGTAGAAAAAAGGGGTAGGCCAAAACTCAGATGGAAGGATGGTGTAGATGAGGATGATAGAAAGATAGGCGCAGCAAACTGGTAACTGTTGGCAATGGATAGGACTGCCTGGCTTAATAGACTTGGGAAGGTCGACGCTCTTTCATAGGGCTGTAGCACCATTGATGATGATGATGATAATAGTTTAAATCGATTTTCGTAAGACCGTCGACATAGGGGTTATGCCTCGTTCACATACCAAAGTAATGTTTGTTTTGATTACAATATTTGATCCTACCGAATACAAGGTGGTTTATTTATTTGTCGTATGGCAATTACAACACATTTAGAACAAAATTACAAACACTAGTAATATAGGTATATGACAAACTTTAAATAGTTACAAACAAACATCAAGTGTATTAATATAATCAATTGACTCTGAAGTTACAAACAGGAAGTCTTCAGGGCTACCATTGTAGGATCTTGAGAGACACTCTTCAATATTGTGGTCGATGGTTTTGTTCTCCCCACAGTTACATTGAGTATACGGGTTCTTTTCTTATTTATGTAGCATGTATGCACATCTGCTATGTCTGGTTGGGATTCTATTTAGAGTGGACCATATTTTGCGTTTGATGACGACAGACTGATTAGCAATGTATTTTGGGAAAGACCAGATGGTAAAAGATCGACAGGAAGGCCTAGAAAAAGGTGGAAAGACCTGTCAGGGAAGACCTGGAGAAGATGAAGTAAGGCCATGGGAAATAATAGCACAGAATCGGAATCAATGGAAGGCAATAGTAAACGCGGCAAAACTCACGAAGAGTTGTAAAAGCCAATGATGATGATGATATTTTGCGTGGAAGATCAAAACTTGGTGGCTTGTGGGTAATGCAGGGCATGTTATTTTGCAATGCGTTCCATTCTTGGACCCATGCATTCGTGATGTTGAACTCCTTATATATTATTCTTGCCGTTTTCATTGGTGGTTTTCTAGAACGGAGAGGGTATTTCGTGCATACTCGGTATCTTGGTGGATCGGTAGGTTTATATTGTTCATGATCTTTTTGTATTCACGTGTAAGTGCGTCCACTCGTCGTAAATGTGGAGGTATGTGACACTCGATGTGACTTAATACTGGAAGCCATTGGCTGGGAGTTAATTTAATTGTACCAGCTATCATCCTCATAGTGCTGAGCAGCTAAGTGTCGACCTTTTTTACGTGTGGAATGTGTAGCCAAACTGGAGCACAATATTCAATGGTCGAGAAAACCAAGTCAATCCAGTTGGCCTTTTTAAAATTCCATCTTGACGTGGGATAGAACTAATTAAATGGATTTACGTCCCTACTTCTATTATTACTCGTCGATGTTGACTGTGTGGGAAATTAGTTAGAACTCTTCGTGAAGTCCCTAGAATCAAGTCTTTGTTGTCGGTCGAGACGAAGCATAGGTCGGAGTTGTATTCCCGCCTCCATGTCGCGGATCATAGTTGGTCCAGCCTTTTTATTTTTTGTTTCGTTTTTCTTTAACATTAGCAAGTTACTATTTCGCACTTAGAGAAAATATAAAAAATTGTCTTCGAAAACAAAAAAATACGACATATAACATAAACTGAATTTTAATAGAGTGAACACTTTGAAGTCAAATATCTCAAAATCAATTTTTGGCGCTTGGTCTGGTGATGCATAACGTCGTCCATGTATGATAATGGCCAATATGTGACTCAATTCTTTTCTATTAGGATTTACGTCAGTCCAGAAATAAATATGCTGATTTTTATGTAAAGTTTACTTCTTGTGTGGACAAAATATTCTTTGTAAGATGTATATTCCATTTTTTTGATTCCATAAGCCAATTACAAAGCCCTTAAACTCTAAAATCTAAAAATTAAATATAAACTAATAATAAAACTAACCTGAATTTCTTGCTTTTTTTGGTTAGCAAAGTCGTTTGCACTTTTCGTAGTATTCACAAATGCGCTTTGAATATTCTGTCCTGCATCTTTAAGTTTAGCATCTGCTTCATGAAGTGCAGAACTAGATTTATCTACAAATAGAGGCAATAAAGAGTAAAGTAAATTCTATTAAATAAAAAATTAATAGACCTTGAAATTACCTTGAATAGAATGTCCTAAATTTTTCACACCTTCCGCAGCCTCATGCATTTTATTGTCGACATTTTTTGCAACATTCTGGGCTCCTTCAGCAGTCTTCTGGGCAGATTCTTTTAGTTTAGTATCAATATTTTTTGCTAAATTTTGGGTACCCTCTACTGTTTCGTGAGCCACGTTCTGGATACCTTCGGCTGTCTTTTGAGCAGCATTCTTCGCTCCCATTGCTGCACTATTTGCAAGATCGTGAGCACCGTCCACAGTTTTACGAGTTGCTTCCTGTGTTCCTTCAACCGCATCTCTTAATTTATTATCAATATTTTTAGCTACATTTTGTGCACCTTCTTTTGTCCTCTGTGCAGCATTTTGAGCTCCTTCTGCCGTTTGTTTCAATTTATTATCAATGTCTTTTGCTACATTTTGAGCTCCTTCGACTGTTTTATGGGCTGCGTTTTGTGCACCTTCTGCCGTTTTGTGTAAAGCATTGTCAAATCCGTGCGCTGCGTTTTGCGCTAAATTTTTTGCTCCATCTACTGTTTTGTTTGCAGCATTTTGGGCTCCTTCTGCCGTTTGTTTCAATTTATTATCAATATCTTTTGCCACATTTTGAGCTCCTTCGACTGTTTTATGGGCTGCATTTTGTGCACCTTCTGAGGTTTTGTGAAAAACATTGTCGATTCCATGGGCTGCGTTCTGCGCTAAATTTTTAGCTCCATCTACTGTTTTGTTTGCAGCATTTTGTGCACCTTCTGCTGTTTTGTGAAAGGCATTGTCGATTCCGTGGGCTGCGTTTTGCGCTAAATTTTTAGCTCCATCTACAGTTTTGTTTGCAGCATTTTGGGCTCCTTCCGCCGTTTGTTTCAATTTATTATCAATATCTTTTGCCACGTTTTGAGCTCCTTCGACTGTTTTATGGGCTGCATTTTGTGCACCTTCTGCCGTTTTGTTAAAGGCATTGTCGATTCCGTGGGCTGCATTCTGTGCTAAATTTTTAGCTCCATCTACTGTTTTGTTTGCAGCATTTTGTGCACCTTCTGCTGTTTTGTGAAAGGCATTGTCAATTCCGTGGGCTGCGTTCTGTGCTAAATTTTTAGCCCCATCTACTGTTTTGTTTGCAGCATTTTGGGCTCCCTCTGCCGTTTGTTTCAATTTATTATCAATATCTTTTGCCACGTTTTGAGCTCCTTCGACTGTTTTATGGGCTGCATTTTGTGCACCTTCTGCTGTTTTGTGAAAGGCATTGTCGATTCCGTGGGCTGCATTCTGTGCTAAATTTTTAGCTCCATCTACTGTTTTGTTTGCAGCATTTTGAGCTCCTTCTGCTGTTTGTTTCAATTTATTATCAATATCTTTTGCCACATTTTGAGCTCCTTCGACTGTTTTATGGGCTACATTTTGTGCACCTTCTGCCGTTTTGTGTAAAGCATTGTCTATTCCGTGAGCTGCGTTATGCGCTAAATTTTTAGCTCCATCTACTGTTTTGTTTGCAGAATTTTGGGCTCCTTCTGCTGTTTGTTTTAATTTATTATCAATATCTTTTGCCACGTTTTGAGCTCCTTCGACTGTTTTATGGGCAGCATTTTGTGCACCCTCTGCCGTTTTGTGCAAGACATTGTCGATTCCATGTGCTGCGTTTTGCGCTAAATTTTTAGCTCCATCTACTGTTTTGTTTGCAGCATTTTGGGCTCCTTCTGCCGTTTGTTTCAATTTATTATCAATATCTTTTGCCACGTTTTGAGCTCCTTCGACTGTTTTATGGGCTAGCATTTTGTGCACCTTCTGCCGTTTTGTGAAAGACATTGTCGATTCCGTGGGCTGCATTCTGTGCTAAATTTTTAGCTCCATCTACTGTTTTGTTTGCAGCATTTTGGGCTCCTTCTGCCGTTTGTTTCAATTTGTTATCAATATCTTTTGCCACATTTTGAGCTCCTTCGACTGTTTTATGGGCTGCATTTTGTGCACCTTCTGCCGTTTTGTGAAAGACATTGTCGATTCCGTGGGCTGCATTCTGTGCTAAATTTTTAGCTCCATCTACTGTTTTGTTTGCAGCATTTTGAGCTCCTTCTGCCGTTTGTTTCAATTTATTATCAATATCTTTTGCCACGTTTTGAGCTCCTTCGACTGTTTTATGGGCTGCATTTTGTGCACCTTCTGCCGTTTTGTGAAAGACATTGTCGATTCCGTGGGCTGCATTCTGTGCTAAATTTTTAGCTCCATCTACTGTTTTGTTTGCAGCATTTTGTGCACCTTCTGCTGTTTGTTTCAATTTGTTATCAATATCTTTTGCCACATTTTGAGCTCCATCGACTGTTCTATGGGCTACATTTTGTGCACCTTCTGCCGTTTTGTGAAAAGCATTGTCGATTCCATAGGCTGCGTTCTGTGCTAAATTTTTAACTCCATCTACTGTTTTGTTTGCAGCATTTTGAGCTCCTTCTGCTGTTTGTTTCAATTTATTATCAATATCTTTTGCCACATTTTGAGCTCCTTCTACTGTGTTATGGGCTGCATTTTGTGCACCTTCTGCTGTTTGTTTTAATTTATTATCAATATTTTTTGCTATATTTTGAGCTCCATCGACTGTTTTATGTGCTGCGTTTTGTGCACCTTCTGCCGTTTTGTGCAAAACATTGTCGATTCCGTGGGCTGCATTTTGTGCTAAATTTTTAGCACCATCTACTGTTTTGTTTGCAGCATTTTGAGCTCCCTCTGCTGTTTGTTTCAATTTATTATCGATATCTTTTGCGATATTTTGAGCACCTTCGGCTGTTTTATGGGCTGCATTTTGTGCACTTTCTGCAGTTTTGTTTAAGCTTTGGTTAATATTTTGACCGATATTTTGCACACCGAGCGAGAAGTTGTGGCCACCCTGTTGCAGTGTCATTCCTGTATGATGCAATTGATTTCCCAAATGTTGTCGCCCAGATTCTGCAGCAACAGCACCTTCATGAAGTTTATTATCAATATGATGCCCAATGTTGTGGAGGCCGGAAGCAATATTCTGACCATCTTTATGAATCTGGTCTCCCGTATGGTGTAGATGATCGTCCACGTTTCTTCCAAATTGATGAAGATTTCCTGCTAACGCATTTTTATGAGCCTCTGCTGTAATTGCAGCATTGCTGAGATTGTTATCGATATTCTGTCCAGTTCTTCTCAAAGTTTCTGCCAATTCTCGCCTTTTTGCCTCAGCAAATTCTTCTGTTTCCTTTACTCGTTGGGCAACTTGTGCCTCAGTTTCTTTCCATTTTTGTTCTGCACTTTGGACTGTACTTTTTACTACATTGTCAGCTTGTTTAAGTTTGTCGTCGACCGCTTTATGGATGTTTGCTTCAGCTTCTCGTTTCGCAGCTTTAGCAGCTTCTTGAGTTTGTCTTCCAAGGTCGTTGAGTTCTTCATTTAAGGCATTTTTTGTATTCTTGGCATCTTCAGCTAAAAAATAAAAGCTTTGGTTATTCATTACTTTGTAGCTTAGGTGTCTTTTAAACAGCTAAGGGACACAAATTACTTAAGCATGCATATATACTTAGATAGACAAAAATAAATCATAATCGACAACATTACGAAGGGTAACTTACCAACATTATGGGCTGCATTTTTGACGTCTTGTGCCACATCTTCCGCTCTGTCTACAACTTTCTGAGCTTTTACTTCAGTGGCGTTTTCTATCGACTCCGCCTCCTTGTCCACCTCTTTTTTCTTTCTACCAAAGAACTCTCCAATTCGGCTTCCAAAGTTTCTTAAGCCGGCTAAAAATATTTGTAATTGTTAAAATGACTTTTGAAAATAATTTCAATACAAGAATAGAATAGTATTAAACAAAATAAGTAAAATATCCACAAGGAAACTAAGTTCCTGTAGCTGGGCTGTATACCATGTGTCACAAAAAAATTTATTAAAATCCTTTATAAAAGGTTTCTATAAAGGATTTTAATAAAGTAAAATATGTTTTAAAATCAACCACAAACGTGATTAGAAATATTTTACTTGCTTATTGACCATATGACCTTACGAATTAGAGTCATTGGACATATTCCGAAGGATGTAAGAGAATCGATAAATTCATCATAGAAAATAGACGTTTCATTTATTAACTATACTAAAAATACTTTTTTAAGTACAGTTAATAAATGAAAAACATTATTTTTTAATGAGACCACAACTTAATTGTGGTCTGAAATTATTTGTTCCTGAAATTTCATCTGAAACTTGAGCACACAAAGGTGATGAAGCTGATCGTAACTTGGTAGCTGAATGATGTTTCTGAATATCTACCCTATTTATTGCCTTAGCGTGTCCTTCAGGATCTGTTGATTGGTCCGACGGATCGTGCTATCCGAATATGCGAATCAGATTATTCGTGGGAAGAACTGAATTTCTAGGAAAAGCGTTAATATAAAAATTTTATGCTCCAGAATACATCACATGCTCTATAACTCCAAAAAGAATCAACCATAATATTGATCAACTACGAGAACTAAAAGGTAAAGCTTTTTTTTGTATTTTAGTAACTTTGGAACTCGAATTAGCCAAAATATGACAGAAAGCCCATTTTCAAAAGAACGAAGACGATACAAAAATGCCTAAGATCGGCCAAAGATCGAAGAGAATAGTTCCAATTCCATGAATTTAACACATGTAGTTGTGGTTCGGTGTATATTGCACAGTTGGTCTGCCTCGTATTTCGGTGAGACTGTGTAAAAATATATTTATCTGTAATAAAAGCAGGCAATAAAAATAAAAGTTCTCTACCAGCAGTACTTATTAACTGCAAACTTATCAATGACTGGAATGTATAAAAATACAAAGTTTTAATATTCTCGTAGATATTAAGTTTGAAAATATGGGCAGTCATCCAGCTGAAGTTTTCATCGGCATGTATCGGCAGACTTATGCACCCTTCGTGTAAGATATAACAATATTTGCCTGAGCGACCCAAACCATAAAGTAGTTTATCAGAAAAACCACCTTTAAATCGCACTGTGGTTTACACTTAGGTAGGTAGGTATAATATTTTATTTTTAAACCAGTAAAATTAGATTTTGCGAAACAAGAACATTTTTAGTATAACCATAACAGCGTTCAGTTAAATTCAAATAAAAAACAGAAGTTAGTTTGGTTGTGACTTCATCAGTGTTCTTTCTAAACTTCTTTTACCATTTTACGAAGTTAATTTAAAAGGTGGCGTTCGCAGTGTCATAATAATTCTGCAGCTGAAGAGCCAAAGCAATCCTCTAATCAATTGGAAGATTTACAAAGCTGTGTATTAAATGTAAGCGATATGTCCAATACCTCTTTGATTATGCCAAACGTATGCTGAAACATGTTTATGAAGTAAATTAAAGTACTCTTCTATCCTCTGCCATTCTACTGATGTGTTCGTTCCACTTCTGTTTTTGTTTTGTCACCCATCCATTTATATCTACTATATTGCATGCTCTTCTTATGTTTTCGGTTCTTTCCCTATCCAACAGACTTTTCTCTGATAGTCGTCGGAGTATTTTCTTCTCTGTTGTTTCTAGTAGTCGTCTCGTTTTAGATTTTGTCCCGGTTTTGTCTCCGCCGTGTATGTTAATATAGGTCTAATTGCTGCTTTATAGATTCTTGTTTTTGTGTCTTGTCTTAGGTGTTTGTTCTTCCTGATTGTGTCATTAAGAGATCCCGCCGCTTTACTTGCTCTTAAGCTTGGTTGTCGTACTTCTTCTTCAACATCTCCGTAACTAGTTATATCTATTCCCAAATATCTAAACCTTGCTTCCTGTTTTATTATTTTCACATCAATTTAGATTTTTCACCGTAGTAGGTATTTAGATGTCATACATTTGGTTTTTTTGTTCCCCATTCTGTAGCCATAACCTTTACGTACTGCTTGTATTATTTCGTCCATTATTATATTAAAGAGAAATGGGCTTAACGAGCCACCCCGTCTGACTCCGCTTTGTACTGGTATACACTGTGTTAGTTTTCCATTTATCTTTGCCTGAATGTCTTCGACTTGGATGCGATCGAAAGCATTTGTCAGGTCTATAAAATATTTTTTGTTAAAGCCAATAATTTTAAGTACAAAACTATAGACAAGCGCCAGGCACTAATGGAAAGTACTAGAATAATTTCTTTAAGAAACAATTATATCAGGCAAATAACTGAGTATCGAAAAATGAAACGAAATATTGTATCATATGTATGATACTCATGACACGACACTGTGAAAAAAAAGTTAGACGATTAATAACAAAAAGTGTTCTAATTCAGTACCGCCCAATAAAGGACAACGAATTATAATTTTGCACTGCGGTGGAGAAAATAAATGGATCGACGATGTATTATTAATATCTGCTGCAAAAAAAAAAAATAAAGACGCGTCTCTAGATTGGCATGAATGAAAGTTAAATTTTTGAATCATGGTTTGAAAAATCTCTTCTTCCGAAATTACCTAAATGTAGTGTGTGTATCATGGACAACGCATCATACCATTCAAGATTAACGAGAAATATTCCAAATATTTAAGTTTGAATAAATTACAAGTTCAGGAATTTTTATTTGAGGAAGATTTGTATTTTGATGCATCATATAGTAAAAAGCAATTGTTGAAGGTTGTTCATAGTAGTCGGTATCGGAAGGAATATTTTGTTGATAACTGTGTTCGCAGTAACGGGCATACAATGCTTAGATTTCCTCCAAATTATTGTACATTAAACCCAACAGAGTTAATGTGAGCTCAACTTAAAGACAATATCCTGGCTTCACAGTGCACTGAAGGTACAAAGCTTATCAAAAATACTAAATTAATAATATGTAATGGATATATTAGTTTTATAAGCCTCATGAGTCATCTCCTAAAATTGTTCCTAAAGATAATTTATAAGAGAATCTACAAGCTGTGTGAAAGTTAAATTTCGCCCAACCAGTTCGGGTTCACAAATGCTGTTGGTCCTAGAGAGGCTTTGTTCTCAAAACAAGTCTTATTCCATAGATGCAGAGACGTCAACTGCGACGTATACGCATGCCTGGTTGATTACGAGAAAGCGTTTGATCGAATACAGCACGCCAAGATGATGCAAATACTAAGAGAAGCAGAAATTAACAACCAAGATCTGAAAATAATTAGAAATCTTTACTTGAAATGAGACAGCAAATCTCAGAGTTGAAGGTGAACACACTGACTATGTGAAAATCATGCGTGAAGTGAGGCAAATTTTGTCTCCTCTAATCTTCAATCTGTACTCTGAAAAAATATTTATCGAAGCTTTGCACGAAACTGAAAAATATATTTTTCTAAATGGTTACCGACTAAACAACATCAGATATGCAGATGACACCATAGTATTTGCGGACAACTTCGAAGACCTACAACTTCTTATGAACAAAATCACGTATTACATTTAACAATATGGACTTAATATAAACGTTAAGAAGACAAAGCTTATGATAATTAGCAAGAAAAGGATAACAGAAGGTCAACTCTACGCCAACCAATCCCCTGTAGAAAGAGTGACGAACTGCAACTACCTGGGCACCATGAAAATGAAGAATGCACGAACAACTAGGAGATTAGAGCACGTATCGGAATAGCTAGATCTACCTTCAATCAGATGGGAGCCTTCTTCAAGAGTCACAACCACTCTCTTGATACAAAAGTAAGAATGCTGCGTCTTCTCTGTTCTTTTTTATGGTGTAAAATCGTGGACCTTGAACAAAAAACAGAAAACTAGCAGCATTTGAGATGTGGCTATATCGGAGAATACTTAAGATCCTGTGGACTGACCGAGTCATAAATGAGGAGGTCCTCAGAAGAATAAATAAGAACCGAGAGGTACTGACCATCATCAAATCTCGAAAGTTACAATTCTTCAGACATATTATGCGAAATTAATCCAGATATGCTCGCCTTCAAGCCATCCTACAAGGAAAAATATTTGGAAAACAAGGTCCAGGAAGATGAAGAACATCTTGATTAAAGAACCTCAGGATCTGGTTTAATACATCTGTGCAGCTTTTCCGTGCTGCTGCAGATAAGATAAAGATTGCCATGATGATCGCCAACATTCGTAACGGATAGGCACATCACGAAGAAGAAGATCATAGTTTTAAGAAATCAGACAGGTAGTCGCAGACTCTGAAAAAAAACCAAGTACAGCCTGTACTCTAGCGGAGATAAAAACAATCAAATTTTTGGCGTGTGTAAATTTTGACTAAATAAACTATTTAAATCAATACAGTGATAGATTATCATATAATAAGTCCAAGGATATATATAAAGCGATAGCGGCTTTCGCTAAAAGATTTAATTCTTTACACATTCCGCATAGCATAAAGGATACAGAAAACGATTATTCATATCGTTTCGTTCACGGCCTTCAAAGTAGGGGGCGCCTTTATAAGCTAACTACACGGTAGTAAAGATTTGGGAGACATTCGTTTTACTTTCCGAGTTTGAATTTGTTCGCGGATAAGCTACATTAAGATAAACAGGAATAAAGCGGAGATGCGCTGTCCTGAGTTTTCACATACGGTTAGGAAACCATGTTGGGGTTCAATTACCCAGGACCTCCACATGAAGAGCACTTGGCTGATTGTTGTGCCTCTATAGCGAATCAGATTGCTATAGGGGGGAAAGGGATGGTCTAGAGCATTGGAGCACGGTGGGGTGATTCCTGTTTTTAAACACGAGTTAAAACACCTTGCTCCAATGAATTGTTACACCCGATCGTACTACCTGGGTGAACATGTCTCATAGGCTGGGTTCAAT